TGTGTGCTCACACTCTGTGTGTCTGCAATGAGTGAATTTCAAGCGAATGGGCTGTAGAAAGCTCAGATGACTCACTCCCTTTCCTTCAGTCAATTTATCTTGAACTTGCCTGAACTCCACACTGCTAACTCAGAGCCGGGGGGAAGGAGTGGCGTGGTGACACTTTGTCTGACAGTGTATCTGCCACGGACACCAGGACTCTAAGCTCTGTGGGTCTGAAGGGTCATCATGTCTTCAGAGCCAGAGGAGAGAACCTCGCCGAGAGGCAGCAGGCCCGGCTCCTGCTGCTTAGCCAGAAGCAGTCAGAGCAGTGACAGTTACGGTGATAGGCAGGACACCCAACACAGTCATGGGCAAACTCTTAACATCGACTGTTCTCTGTTCTTCAGAACCTAGTGCGCTTATCTGCCCATTTACAGAGAAGCATGGACGAGTGAGCAGAGAGAAAATCCTAAGGACTCACTGCTTAAATGTGGACCTTGTGGACAGTTTAACTACTTTAGATGGCTGGCATTGCCCTGTTGTGGAATTAAAGAAAGACAGAGTAATGAACTGCCCTTCCAAACTCAGATTTTTCTTGCTTGTCGGGAAATGACCTGTGATGTTTTGTTTTCAGCTATTAAAGCCAGAAAGCAGTGATTAGAAGCCTCCTGTGAATCTCTGGGGTTTGTAACTGGACAAATTTGTGAAGGGAGATGGGGCAGGAAGTGCCATTTTCCCAAAATGCATCTGTATCACCTTAGTGGTTTGATGACCTGGGGATGCATCAGAGCAGCTGGCACAAACCCAGGCACTAGCATGGACATCAGATAGCACAGGGCCTTCCCACTGTGTTGTGGAACTCAGGGAAAAGCGACTCCTTCTCAGTCATCGAAACTTCTACCTTTTCAAAATACCACTATTTTCACTATTGGAACCTGTTCAATGCCTCTAATGATGACCACTTTTTTTTTAACATCTCTGCAAGCAGAATTTATGTCGCAGAAAATTTTTAAAAAAGGGGGGGTAGGCCCATAACTCAGTTAAGTCTGTTTATTTTCCTTTTAAAATAATGATTGTACTTCTTATTAATTTCTTTCCTCATATTCCTACATCTGAACACTTTGTGGAAAAGTTCTCTTCTTAGATTCAAGAGCACTTACATTTTTCTGAGGTCATAATGGTATTTTGTAGTAATAATAAAATAACAGCACTAACTACCATATATGGAAGACTCCATAACCAGGTACCATGCCTACTGCTTTTAATTCTTTAGGAACTCTCGAAGGTAAACATCTTTATGGCACCAATTAGCATTCAAGAAATCGGGGGCTCAGATAAATTCATGAAAAAACTGAAACAACCCCAGTTTAAGAAAACTGAATCTGCTCCACAGTCTACATAGCATTTTGCTGCAATGTTAAGCAGATTTCTGAAAGAAGAATAAAACCACATATAAAATTGAAACTTGAGCCCCAGCCGGTTGGCAAAGTGGTTAGAGCATCTGCCCATGCGCCCAAGGGTTGCAGGTTCAATTCCAGTCAAGGGCATGTGCCTTGTTGCAGGTTCACTCCCCACTGCCCCTGGTTGGGGTGTGTGTGGGAGGCAACCAGTCCATGTGTCTCTCTCACATCTATGTTTCTCTCTTTCTCTCTCTCCCCCCTTCCTTCCTCCCTTCTACTCTCTCTGAAAAAGCAATGGAAAAAGTATCCTCAGGTGGGGATTAACAACAACAAAAATTAAAACATGAAATCATTAGTTAAAACCATTAAGAGCCCACACTGAAGAAACTAGTGGCTGATCTAGGGCAGTGATAGCATGTGGTTAGAGCAGGGCCCATAGAGTTGTCTCTAAAGCCGTGTTTGCAGAGGAAGCACCTTGTGTTTGCTTAAATTGTATTTTTACAGATCGCTACCAAAGAAGTATTTTCTAAAGACCCTTTGTTCACACTTTATGTAACATTGAGTAAGTTTCAATTGTCCATATTAGTGAATATAATTTTTCCCGTGACTATTGCTAATTTGGGATACTTTTTGGAGGCTGATGGAGATTGTGGGAACCTAAAGCTCCCTTTATTGTAATAAAGTCCAGTATCCCCTTTTTATATGTGAGTGATATTTTCATTATATGATTTTGGACATTTTTGCTTGTGCATACCCAAATTTCCTTGCCTCTTTTTTCCTTTGAAGAATGCCTGTTCAAAGGGTTTGCCAGCATGTGCCGGAACACAGCTATTTCATCTAAATTATTTAGTAGTTATAAAAATAGAGTCAGTTATGAAAGCTGTCTTTTCTTATAGATACCCAAGAAGTTTGGTATGAAAATCTCACCTCCAGTGACAACTCTGTTGCTTGAAGGTCTAGAAAAGATAGGAAATGACTCACCATAAATCGTAGTCAGATTAATCCTCACAGCGATTTCTGAAGGTCCAGTGTGTCTTCTCCCCCTTTAGGGTCTCATGCTTTCTACCCAAAACGCCCATGATGCAAATAGGCCCCTCCTTTTGCCACTGTTGTCAATGCTGGGTTTAGAAGACGAAGCTGCAGATTTCATTTCTCTTCTCTGATATCCATTAGCTGTAAGTCCTTTG